TGCTCTAACAAATGTGATTCAGTCTTTTTGAAATGAGACTATCTGTAGCGATTTTATATTAAATAAATTTTTCTGAGCCTTTGCTATCATCTACAGAATGTAAAAACTATAGAGAACACTGTTGGGAAGTGAATTAGCAAAGGATAAGACACAGTAAATAAATATGCTCCTTCTAACTGGGTCGTTTTCTATATACTTTTGAAGTATTTTTCAGAACATAGAAAAGAAAAGGAAACCTCTGTAGTGTAAATAAAAGATGAGTCAAAGTTGCTCTGGTTCATCAAACTCCTGGGACCAAAGAATATGTGCTATCCTGACATCTCAGGAAATATCATGTTTATTCTGGCAAAAGTCCCTAATGCCTAGCTGGCTTAGCAATGTTAACGGAATTTTGTCAATCTATTAATTCTTTTTCTAAATTCAGTTTAAAATAATGTGATCAAATGTTACTTATTTAGAATGTATTAATTCAGAATTTGTGATAATTCAGAGCATGCTGACTGCATTGAGATGTGTTCGTTTTCTTTTGAAGAAAGGGCTCCCTAAAAGCATTAAGAAGTTATATTCAGATTTGAGGCATACTTATCCTACATAACACAATTGTAAAAAAATTGAGACTGTTAACTTTAGTGGACAGACCTGGTGGCCATTCATTCTAGAAGCAATCTGTGTGTTTTTGGTACTCTGTTCTGCTTGATAGTAATACATTTGCATTTTATTTGAGAATGTTCATAATTCAGACATTTCACTATCAGGCTAACCTCTCTTAATTCTCTGAATGAAGGGGATTTTATTTTAAATAATGTTTGTATGTATTTGGTAGACTCTTTATTAAGTACATTTCCATTTTTGTTTAGAAATTTTAATTGTATATTTTTATATGTTATTAGGTTCAATCTTATGATCCAGAAACCAATTCTTGGCTACTTCGTGCAGCTATCCCAATTGCCAAGAGGTGTATAACAGCCGTATCCTTAAACAACCTGATCTATGTTGCCGGTGGACTGACCAAGGCAATATACTGTTATGATCCAGTTGAAGATTACTGGATGCATGTCCAGAATACATTCAGCCGTCAGGTAATAACATAAAGCAGTACAAAAGAAAAATACATCTAAGAGGGACCAAGTGCATAATCATTATTAATACACTGTAATTTCAACTTTAAAATATTTCAGGCCGGGTGTGGTGGCTCATGCCTGTAATGCCAGCACTTTGCAGGGCTGAGGCGGGTGGATCACTTGAGATCAAGAGTTCCAGACCAGCCTGGCTAACATGGTGAAAACCCATTTCTACTACAAATACAAAAATTAGCCAGGTGAGGTGGCATGAACCTATAATCCCAGCTGCTCAGGAGGCTGAGGTAGAAGAATCACTTGAACCTGGGGGGCAAAGGTTGCAGTGAGCCAAGATTGTGCAACTGCATTCCAGCCTGGGCAACAGAGCGAGACTCTGTCTTAAAAAAGTAACTAAATAAATAAAATATTTCATGTTTGCGTGAATTATTTTATAATTTTGCTTAAACTCCACATAAAGCATATGGCAACCTGTTTTGAACTCCTTCCAAGGAGTCGTTTTATTGAAATAACTTCATTTTTACCATCCCATGCTGAAGTATCTATTGCACTTGGGCTGTTGTTTTTTTTTTTTTCTCTCTTGATCTTTTTCACAATCCTACTTCAGTCTTTATCCCCTCTCTCATATTTCAGGAGAGAAAAAATGTTCCCAAATTGATTGCTTATTTTTATTAGAGGCTAGGAAATCTGTTAATTCTGTTAAAGGAAATGGCTTTGCACAGCTCTGTTTCATCCATAAATTGTACCCGGAGCCCTACTCCCTCCCACACCGCCACCTCCCAAAAGGCCTTTTCTCCACCTTTTTATTCATGGCTCTGTTCTTTTTCCTTCTACCCCCAAAATACTTGATGATTTTGATGCTGAAAATCTGGCTCTACGCATACCTTAGAGATGTACTCTCAAAGGTCATTGCTAATAATCTCCTCACTCTCCTTCACACTCTCTTTTCTACCCAGTTCTTAAACATGAGTGCTCCTTGAGCCTCCTGTGTCCTCTTCTCAGTTTATACTCTTTCCTGAATTATCTCATTTACACCTCAGCACTGATAATTTGCAAGTCTTTGTCACCATCAGAGCCTCTCTCCTGTGGTCCAAACTCAAATTTCTACTAACTGCCTATGTGATATTTTACATAGGATTTCAAGACTTTAAATTTTTTTTTTTTTTTTTTTTTTGGAGATAGTCTTGCCCTGTCACCCAGGCTGGAGTGCAGTGGTACAGTCTTGGCTCACTGCAACTCTGCTCCTGTGTTCAAGCGATTCTCCTACCTCAGCCTCCTGAGTAACTGGGACTACCGGCATGCACCACCATGCCCAGCTATTTTTGTATTTTTAGTAGACAGGGTTTCACCGTATTGTCCAGGCTGGTCTCGAACTCCTGACCTCATGATCCGCCTGCCTTGGCCTCCCAAAGTGCTGGGATTACAGGCGTGAGCCACCACGCCCGGCCAAGACTTTACATTTAAAATAGAATTCACCTTCTTCCCCAAACCTACTCTTTCTGTATTTCCAAATAACTGAGAAACTTAATTTACTAGATTCTCTTCTCCAGCCTATCAGTTCTCCTATTTTTTCATTCCTATTGTTTCTATATTTGTTCAAGTTCTTATCAATTTTTACCTAAACAAAACCAATAATACTCGAATTAGTCTTCCTTTCTCTGATATCTTATCTTTCTAGCTCATTTTGCCATCAGTTATTTTTCAATATATCTATCTATTGTCTTTCTTGATTAGAAACCTATTAAATAAAATCCAAAAGTTTTACTGCTTCATTCTAGACCTTCTGTTACCTGACCTTCATTTCACATTCTGTAACTTTACCTCAGATACGTTAAGTATGTGTCATTTGTAGTCTCTAAACAGATCATAAATGTTCTTGCCTTGGTTCATGCTGTCTTCTTAGCCTGTAATGCCTTTTTTACCTTCTCTACTTATAATTCTACTCATCTTTCAAGGACCCCTTCAGTTACAACAGAGTTTAACTTGGCCAAAATGAATCTTTTTTGCTTTCTGATCTGTTGAAGCACTCACACCTCTTATGGCCCTTGTATATTCCCTTGTGAGTATAAATATTTATTACCTATACTGGAATTTAGTCTTCTTGAGGACACTATTTGTTCTAACTCATCTTGTATGTATCTTGCATTTATTTGTGCATAGTAAATATGTGTATTGAATAAGTAAACAAATTAGGAAGTACCAAAGGGACTTGATTTTAAGATAATCTTATTTGCAAGAGACATTAGAGATACAGGATAGACTATAAGGATAGTGAATAGGGTTTGAATATAACATCATTTTTCCAAAGTTGTTGACATTGGGGTATAGTCTCCAATTAGTAATGTATATGGAGTAACATTGCCCCAGTTGATGAAAGGGACATAATAGCCACTTCAGCTTTGTGGTACAAAATGAGCATTACCTTTTATCCCTCTCATATCACATTTAAGTAAAAATGAATCACATTTCTCCAGCTCAGTGACCTCTCCTGGAAAATCATTCTCCAGCCCTACAGAGGTGCGAGTGTACCCTGCTTGCATCAGGATCCTCATGTAGTCAAGTATTGAGACTTACTTGTAATTTTTTTTTAATTGAAGCTGCTTTTTATTGGTTTATTTCAGTGAAGATTGCAAAGAATAATGCATTTTTGTTAAGAATTACTGTTCAAGCCAGATGCAGTGGCTCATGCATGCAATCCTAGCACTCTGAGAAGCTGAGGCAGGAGGATCACTTGAGGCCAAGAGTGAGGGGACCAGCCTGGGCGGCAGAGTAACACCCTATATCAAAAAAAGAAAAAAAGAATTACCATTTATTCGGAACTTTGCTATATTATGTAAACCAATAACAGTTTAGGAAGATAATTACCAGCATTTAGCATATTGCAGGGCATACATGAATTTTTTTTAACTAGATTATTGAGATAAAACTGAGGGGAAAAAAAAAGGACACACATGGCACATTTTCTGTAATTAAACAACATTAACTTTAGAAATATAATGAACATAAAACATTTGGATCAGAAGTATATGAAGTCTAACAAAGACAAATTGTCGAAGTTCAAATCTAGTACTGGGATTTAGGGGATTATTTTCTCTCCTGTGTTCACTCTTACTCCAAATACTACTAAATATATCTATGCACGCATCAACCTTGACTCACTGCAACCTCCACCTCCCGGGTTCAAGCCATTCTCCTTTCTTAGTCTCCCAAGTAGCTGGGATTACAGGTGCATGGCACCACACCCGGCTAATTTTTGTATTTTTAGTGGAGACAGGGTTTTGCCATGTTGGCCAGGCTGGTCTTGAACTCTTGATCTCAGGTGATCTGCCCACCTTGGCCTCTCAAAATGCTGGGATTATAGGCATGAGCCACCACGCCCCACCGTATGCGCATATTATTGATAGGTAATGTTTGAGCCAGGTGTGATTGTCTACCCTTTTAATGCTAACCAATGAAAATGGATAAATCAAACGAATTTCATTGTATACAGTTAAACAAACCCAGTACTGTTGCTTTTGAAAATGCTTAGAATATTAAATGCAAAAAAGAGCTGAAAAAAATAAGGTGTTTATTTTATTATTATTTTTATTTTATTTTATTTTATTTATTTATTCATTTATTTATTGAGACGGAGTTTCACTCTTGTTACCCAGGCTGGAGTGCAATGGCACGATCTCGGCTCACCGCAACCTCCGCCTCCTGGGTTCAGGCAATTCTCCTGCCTCAGCCTCCTAAGTAGCTGGGATTCCAGGCACGCGCCACCATGCCCAGCTAATTTTTTATATTTTTAGTAGAGATGGGGTTTCACCATGTTGACCAGGATGGTCTCGGTCTCTTGACCTCGTGATCCATCTGCCTCAGCCTCCCAAAGTGCTGGGATTATAGGCGTGAGCCACCTCGCCTGGCTTATTATTTTTATTATATAAAAAATATGGACACTTCATGAATTTGCGTTTCATCCTTGCGCAGGGGACATGTTAATCTTCTCTGTATCATTCCAATTTTAGCATATGTGCTGCCGAAGCGGGCACAAGGTGTTTATTTTTTACAGTCCTAATGGACCCAACTTATTTCTGTTTGTTCTTCACCATCTCCATGCCTCTTTTTACTTTTCATAATTCCTAAAAACACAACTTATTATTCTAAACATAATTTGCTTTTTAACTTCTGCCAGGAACATCCTTTAAAAAAAATTATGAGATTTTTTAAAAAAGTCAATGATGAAGACTTTCTCTCTCTCTCTCTTTTTTTTACAATGGACCCCAGATATTTACAATGTCATTCAAGATTAGAATAATTAAATGAAAAGAAACCTGATTCTTTCTATTGTTGACATTTTAACATTTAAGCATATAAAAATAATGAGAGGTATGTTTTTTTGCAATATTAGGATATTTCAGTCTTTGAAAATAACAATTAAAACTTTATGTATTGATAAATTATTTTTCCTATAGCTGCTCTTACTCCTGAGTGAAGACTAAGTTTTTTATATAGTATAAACAAACACATAGAGTAAATGGTATTTTACATAGCATGAAAGAAACTATTATATCTGATAGATGTAATTTCCTGATATGAATACTTGGTTTCAAGGTTGTTTGCTTTATTTAATTCTGAGCATTTTTATCTGAAATAATATTAATTACCAGATCATGTAATTATATATTGTTTTAGAATCATCATCAAAATAACTAAGTTTCAATATTGGGAACTAGCTTATACCTGAAAACCAAGGTTTTTGTTTGTTTTTATTATATTCAGAACTTTTAGAATTTATAGAAAGAGCTCATTGTGCTTTTACATGAAAAATATTAGAGTTTGTCCCATAATTGGTGCAATTCATGGGAGTATGGTATTCTGAATAAAAGTGTCATTCACTATATGACAATGGGCTAAGTCATTCTGGGTGTCTATAAACTCTAATATAGGCCAGGTAGGGTGGCTCACGCCTCTAACCCCAGCACTTTGGAAGGCCAAGGTGGGTGGATCACCTGAGGTCAGGAGTTTGAGACCAGCCTGGCTAACATGGTGAAACCTCATTTCTACTAAAAATACAAAAAATTTCCAGGGGTGGGGACTCAAGCCTGTCATCCCAGCACTTTGGGAGGCCAAGGTCAGTGGATCATGAGGTCAAGAGATTGAGACCATCCTGGCCAACATGGTGAAACCCTGTCTCTACTAAAACTATAAAAATTAGCTGGGCGTGGTGGTACACACCTGTAATCCCAGCTACTCAGGAAGCAGAGGCAGGATAATCACTTGAACCCGGGAGGCAGAGGTTGCAGTGAGCCGAGATCACACCACTGTACTCCAGCCTGGTGACAGAGCCAGACTCCGTATCAAAAAAAAAACCAAAAACAACAAAACATTAGCTGGGCGTGTTGATGTACTCCTGTAATCCCAGCTACTCGGGAGGCTGAGGCAGGAGAATCACTTGAACCCAGGAGGCAGAGGTTGCAGTGAGCCAAGATTGTGCCACTGCACTCCAGCTTGGGCGACAGAGCAAAAACAAAACAAACTATATAATATAGGCATTTTTAAGTACTCACAAATTCTTTCCGACCTAAAGATAGTATCCTATTATATAAATCCACCAAGATTTAATTTCTTCTATAAGAGCAAAATTTATATACAACAAATTTGGTCAAGTAAAAATGCTTATTGAACTAATTGGTAGAACCTATTTCATTGTTGGTTATGTGGAACCAAGATTATAAGATGCAATAACTATCTGAATTAAAGTGAAACTTTAATTGGAAATGGAATAATATCTAACCTGTAGCATAATCAGATCCATGTGATAGTGAGTCAATTGTTAGTATAGGTTTTGGGTTTTTTGGGGTTTTTTTGATACAGAGTTTGCTCTTGTTACCCAGACTGGAGTGTAGTGGCATGATATCGGCTCACTGCAACCTCTGCCTTACAGGTTTAAGCGATTCTCCTGCCTCAGCCTCCCCAGTAGCAGGGATTACAGGTACCCTGCCACCACATCCAGCCAATTTTTTTTGTATTTTTAATAGAGACAGTGTTTCACTGTGTTGACAAGGCTGGTCTTGAACTCTTGACCTCAAGTGATCGACCTGCCTTGGCCTCCCAAAGTGCTGGGATTATAAGCATGAGCCACCACGCCCGACCAGGTTTTTGAAGAATCACTCTCATTCTTGCAAAAGTATTTGTTTTATATATAGTAACTGTATTATTGACAGGGAATAGTAAAATTTAGCTAAGAATGCCATTGTGTGGGAAGTTAACTGTAAGATGTTATTTGAGTCATTTCCATGGCCCAGCCAAGGCTCCTAATAACAGTGTTTTGTTAATTTAGTTATAAATCTTTCTCTTATTCATTCAATTTGTGGGTAATCCTATATAATGAATATTGTTCCTACTCCTTGGTCATGTAACCACCACTTTCTGTAATAACCTTCCTGTAATAGGAGAAGCAAGCCAGGCTCTTTGAAATGCTTTTGCTTAACTACCGTTAAGTTAAAAGCATTTCATCAGTCCACATCCTACCTCCCACATGTTGGCTCCAATTACTAACATAGAATCTTTTTTTTCCCAACTTTTATTTTAAGTTCAGGGGCACAAGTGCAGGTTTGTTACATAGGTACACTGTGTCATGGGGGTTTGTTGTACAGATTGTCTCATCACCCAGGTATTAAGCCTGGTACCCATTAGTTAGTTATTTTCCTGATCGTCTTCGTCCTCCCACCCTCCACTCTCTGAAGGCCCTAGTATGTGTTGTTCTCCTCTGTGTGTCTCTGTGTTCTCATCATTTGGCTCCCACTTATAAATGAGAACATGCAGTATTTTGTTTGGCTATGGCCCCCAGCTCCATCCATGTCCCTAAAAAGGACATGATCTCATTATTTCTTATGGCTGCAGCTAACATATGATCTATCTTGACATTCATTTTATTCATGCAAAATTATCCAGCACTCACAGCACAGAGTTGGGCAAAAGGAGCTTAGCTTATATCATGTCTCTCTTTTTTTGGCTGTGTTAAAGCATTATTTTGCTTTTCTGTTTGTTACAAAATCCTTTATCTTCAATGGTTAATTTTATTTTTAATGTATTTGGTTAAACAGGAAAACTGTGGTATGTCTGTGTGTAATGGTAAAATATATATCCTGGGCGGAAGACGGGAAAATGGAGAAGCCACAGACACTATTCTCTGTTATGATCCTGCAACAAGTATCATCACAGGGGTCGCCGCAATGCCCAGGCCAGTGTCCTATCATGGCTGTGTGACTATTCATAGATACAATGAGAAATGCTTTAAACTCTAAAGCCGGGATACCTCACTGAAGAAGCCACGCCGACCCAAGATGAGAGGTTTTAAAAACTCTAGAGTGGGAACTTGACATATCTCCTTTGTGCCATATGCAAAAAATAGTAAAAATAATAATTTGGTGCCTTTCACCTCAAAATATCAATCTTTCAAACTGTAATAAAGCCTTTCTTGTAATTGAAAAAAAAAAAAACTTTTTTGTTAAAGGTAATGGTGGTTGTTACTTGGCCTTTGAAGAGTGTACCTTTGTAAGTATTTGTGAGAAGCCTATGTGAATTGGGAAATCATGCCTGTTTGCATACCTTTTAGGAACGTGTGAATGGTGTCTTCACTTAATATGTATGTTTATCTCTATGTATATTCCTTATTTTGTCATATGTGTACAGAAAATTGCATGACTTGAGGCATCATTTAGGTTGAAAAAGTTAATGCTTAGAATGCATTCTAGGAGAAAAAAAATAGTTTTACAAACCTTTGTTGTTAACAAAGTATATCCAGATTGATTAATTTTATTGAAGGATTTTTTTCTGTAATTGATAAAAATGTAATGACAACAATTCAGGTATCATAAAATACTGACGTATTGTGACTTTATTCTTAGAATGTCTGTCTTATATTAAACATGTTTTTAGGGGAAGTTAGGTAGGAGATATAAAAATAAGTGACCCTACAAGGGGGATTAAAATTACAAGTTAATTCTTAGGGAAAAAATGGAATGGCCATTGAAGGAAAAATAACCCACTATGGCTCTCAAAGTTTTTATGCATCATCTCTTAAATCCTCTAAGAAAGCTTCTTTTCTTAACTTGATAAAGCAGTTGAAACCCATTTTTGCAGTATCATCTTGTGAAAAACAAGGATGGACAGCCGGGCCCAGTGGCTCACACCTGTACTCCCAGCTACTCGGGAGGCTGGGGCAGGAGGATCACTTGAGCCCAGGAGTTTGAGGCTGCAGTGAGCTGTGAACACACATTGTACTCTAGCCTGGGCAACAGCGTGAGACTGTGTCTCAAGAGAAAGGAAAAGGAAAATAGGGACAGGTTTCTTCCCTAGCCCAATAGGGTTTGACCTCATGAGATTGGTGCTTTGGTGAGGACCCCTTCCTTGATTATCCTACTTTCTAGTGAACAGCTAAAATTCCTGAGAGTCGCTACTGTTAAGGAACCTTTAATAGCATCAAGCAGGGACCACCTATCTCAGTGGGTCCACTTTTCTTTTAAAATTAGTTATCTGAAAAAACTTAGCAGTAGTTCCCATCTTGGTTCCCATCTTTAAGGTAAGTCTTTCATTTGGTACCCATTGTGTAAAATATTAATCAACATTTTCAAGCTTCTTTGCAACAGACTGCTTTTTTCTAGGTTTCTCAACTCCACTTCATAAAGCTTATCAGTTTTCAGAGAGGAATGTGAATTTTTTTTCTAATGCAAATAGATGGATATGGCAGGAACTACAGCATAAGTGATTATTGTGATTCTGGGTGGGCGGACATAATTTACAGCATTTAGGGATGTTCTAGGTAGACTGCTGTAGTTTCTCCTCCAGACACTGTTGTCTTTCACATTATAATTTGTATATTTCTTGTGATAGGAGGGATGATGCAAATATGTAATTAGAGTGTCACCAGAATTTTGTTAAAACCAAGGTTGAAATAAAAAGCCTAACATTGGTAAGCTACATTTTTTTCTCATCCTAGAATGATACAGAGATTTCACATAGACATTTTTAAAGCTTTAATGCTTAG